TTATTTTCTTAAAATTTAGATTTTTTTTTAATTATACAGTACACATAACACAGAATATTTCATATATTAAGTATTAAAAGATTGTAACAGATAATTTTCCTAGAACTTCTCTTTAAGAAAAAGATTTTTCTTTAAAAAATCTCTTAATAAAAATGTTATTACAACAAAAGTTGCAGATTCTAGGACACCTAATATATGCTTGCGACAGCAAGAATTAGACTTCCTTTTCTTCGAATGTTATTTATAGCCATGCACTTTTGATCGGACACTCATTAATTATAAAAACTTCGGTAGAGAAGAGAAAGAAGGAGAAGAAGACAAAAAGTCATGATTTTCCGTTAACGATTTCGTGCAATTATCGAGACTCGGCTTTAATGAATCGGTGACGCGATGAGAATGTACGGCCCTCTAAAAAAGGAGATTCTACATTTGTGCTTCGATGGTTCTTTTTGTTTGAGTTAAGCGCGATGAGAGAAAGAACGAGTAAAGAATTCAAAGCATGACGCTTTATTCGGTATAAATGGCCGCATTTTCTAGAATTATATTAACAATTTCTTGAACATAGTCGAGTCAATATAGCGTTGTTACGAGAAAATCGTTGAAAATGCTAATGTATTGCTGCGAAAGTTTCGTTGACATAAATCATTAAAAGTTGTAATGGATTTTCTATAACAAGACGGAAATTCATATTCAGATAAATATTCATGCTATTTTATCGATTTAAAGAGATTATATCAAATCTTTTATAAATAATGGATATTAATTGCTAGCGCATAAAATCCAGTAATAATAAATTATTGCAACTTAATTACATTATTTTGATTATAATATTTTGTACTTTTTATTCAATTTATTGTATTAGTTAAAAATAAATTACTGTATTAATTAATTTATTATATTAATTAAAAAATAAATTATAGTTGTCAATGGGGGGAAATAATACGGCAATAATGAGTGGCCGAAACGAGGGTAGAGCTAATTGCTCCAATTCTTCCAGATATGTTCCGAGATTAGTATTATTACTGATCTTGAAACATTGAAGCAATAAGCACCGCATTCATTTCGACCATTAAAATTATCACCGTGCTATTCCCTTTATTAACGCTTTAATTTATTTTTAATTTCTCCATTGTTTATATATCGAGACAACTGCACATTGCAGCGTTTTATCCCTTGATTTTCGTCGCCTGACATTAGCCAATTGTACTTAATTAGCGGATCGTCATGACGTAATCGCACAGATAAGCGAATGGCGCTCGTTGATCTTCCGTGTTCGACGTTAGGAATTAGTCCTCGGAGAAATCTTCGGTAACAGTTCGTTGTACGCTAGTTACGCTCTTGGGAAGATTCTCAGAGGTTCTTCACCAAGACAAAGGGGGCATCATACGCGCGTACCGTTGGCCGGAAGTCGGGAAGGGGGGCTTCGCTCGCGATAGTCGTTTAGATACACACCGTATTTCTCCGCACGGATCGGCACAACCGCAGGTGAGAATAAATCGGGACAATCAACGTCTTACCCTTTGGTCACGTCAATGCCTTTTATCGTCAATTTTCGACGCGGCCGTTGAGTCGCGTGACGTCATATATACGCACGCATGTATGTATACAGCTATATGATATACGCTCGCTTTCGATCGGGGAGTAAAATTATTAAAGCGACTCGGCCCATCACGCTGATTGCTCAGAAACGAATATCCGACCGCGAATCAACGTTAATTAACCCTTTTCTCTTGAACGTTGTCATGCGCGATCGATCGTCCTATAGCGTTTTAATTATCGCGTGGCACGAAAGGATGGACTCTCCGCGGATTAATTCTCCTTTGACAGAGAAAGAGTGATTGCATCCCCTCATTTTACATTTGGATCATTACTTTTTGCTTTTTAACGAGAATTCAATTGAAACGCAAAGAATGCTATCTAATGAATTGATAGAATGAAATAATTATTGTGTGCGTACTTCTGTATCTGACAATGAGATAGATGAGCTTATATAAAATTTCGATATAATCTATTATTAAAATTTGTATTGGAGTTCTGAAGAGGTAAAATTAATCTGATTAAAAAGGAACTTTTGTTATCACATATAATATTAGAAAAAATTTCTTTTGTGTTTAATTATAATTTGAAAATCTCTCTTTAATTTTAAAAAATCTATATTTTAATTTAAAAAATATCAATTTTATATTAATTAAAAAAGAAGAATATTCCATTTAAGATTAATGCACGTGTCACAATTATTATTCCCCTGCATTTAAGATTATCGCTATTAAAGGGATCATCCTCACACTTAAGAGACTATCCTCTATCAATGTCTCTTAAGTGCGAGACATAACAGCTGTAGTTAGGAGAGAATCCAATATCAATGATGCACGGACAGTCTGTTCAGGGTGTTTATATCGCAACCTATTATTCCCGGAAGGGGATGAATCGATCGGTATTTTTATTCGCGAACTTACGCCTCGACGCACCGCGTAACACGTTCTCATGACGCCATTTCTTTATTAGCACGCTTTATTTCTTCCGCAAAACATCGCCATTCTTTCTCTCTCTTTCTCTCTCTTTTTGTCTCGCTAAACTTTTTATAATCCAGCTTTATGACGCAATATACCACCATGCATGTGTGCGCGTCGATGACATCACATTTTGTGACGTCGCGCAGCCACTCCACGAAAAGTACCGATGTAATCATCAGGTGTTTTTCGAAAAAAAGAAATACACAATAATTTGATTACTTCCAAGAAAGAAAGCAAGCAATGAAAATGATGTACGGTTATCATGTGAAAAGAATATTACATTGTACATATGTTCCTAAGTTTTCCAATAAAAATTTTCTCTCTTTCTCTCTTTGATCTATATTTTTATTGAACATTTAACGTCAAATATTATTGCTTTATTGTTCTTTATGTTACATAAATTAAATATGGAATCATATTTAATATTAAATATTATATATTATTAATTTTTCATTGTATTACACATACATGTACTTGCGGCGTGTTGCTTTCGCCGTCAAACGAGTGGCAGCTAAATTCGACTCGCGGCGTGTTGCTTTTGCTGTCAAGCATGCGACAGTCAAGATCCAGTCAAAAATAAAATCGATTAAATATTTAGAGAACTCATAACTTGGTGCACAAGGAAAATATATTTGTATTAGAGATAAATGTATGTATGTGTGTGCGCGCCACAGAATCAACTTTACTATTCGAGAGAGACAAATAAATATTAATATTCGGGGAACGCGGAGTTCAATGATTATTTATGTTTCTTAGTTTTTCTGTTTTTTTATGGATCTGACCAAAAACTTTAGAAATCACAAGAGTGATTAGTAACGTCGAAATACTATGTATGGATTTATTTCTGTTATACAAGATTGATCACAAAAAATTTTTCGCACATCAAGAGTACCGATGCAGTACCGACTGGTACGGATGGGGGAATCGAGTCTCGAGGAAGCTATCCTCGTATACGAACTCTCCATATACGCGAGTATGGTTATATCCGTGATGCAAACGTGATTATGTTGCACGGAGCTTTTGCTTGCCTGCTTACCTATGTACGTGCATTTATTTTCCGCGGCGGTAGCTCGTTTCATCACGCTTGCTTTCTTCTTCCGAGAGCGATGCTTAGGAGTTACGGCGATGTTGCAGCCAGTTTAGTTCAGTGACACCTACTCCATGCGGCGCGTTATTACGCGCACGCAACGAACGCATGTCGCTCGGCCATTGCCGAGCCCGAGCCCGGTTCTATGCACGCACTTTGCGTATCATCGTGCCGTGCGTGCGAACTCGCATCGACACGGATGCTTCGCCTGGCTTGGACGCGTAGCCGGGAAAAACCTCACGGAAAATCTCTCGGCGATGGCCGTCTGCGGGCTACTATACATATACATCGTCCGTTTGTTTTTGCTCTGTTTACCTAGGTGCATACAACGCCTTTCAGCGAGCACGCTCTGTTGCGCGCGCAAGCTAAGAAAGGAAATTTATTAGTAGAGTAATTTGCTTTATAATGCGTCGATTATTCCCATAAAGACGATTTTCAGAAATTGCGCAAAACAGAGAAAATTAGAAATTAAAGATAAGAATTACGCATAAATTATAATATATAGATATTAAAAATAAAAAATATAGCGCGCGTTAATTAATAATGATATAATAATTTGCTTTAATATTAGACTCCATTATCTCTCTTAAATATAATATTATCTCTCTTAAAATAATATTAAAAAATAATATTATCTAAAATAATATTAAAAAAAAAAATATTAAAATAATATTAAAAGATAATATTATCTCTTTTAAATAAAGAAATAATTAAATTTAAAAAATTGTTTAAAGTATTAAATAAATTATAAATTAAACAACGTACAAAATTTATAGTATGAAAAACTTGCGGAATGATTAATATATTAATAATATATATAATATATAACAAATTTCTATAGTTTTATGTTAAGATTTTAAAACTGTCAATTATTTCATTTTATTTGATGATCATAGCCGAATAAATAAATATTTATAAGAAAATGTTCCCTAAGTGATTCTTAAATAATATAATCAAGAAAAAGATTGTATCCTTTTTAGGCAAACAATAACTATTATCTCTTTCTGATCGTAGATAGAACGCGAGTTGGTCCTGTCATCGGGAGACAAAAATTCCAAGATTCCTATTCTTCACGAGTACAAACAGAGGACCGCCGGAAGAGCCATTGCGCCGGATGCGCCGATTAAGCAACAGGCTTGGGTTCAAGAGGTGAGTTTCTGTCTGATCTTCCCCAATAATTCACTAGAAATTAGAGGAGAGAGAGCTGAATAAATTACACTGATTCCCTCGCGTCTTTTTTACTGGACAATGACCGTTAGCGTAAAAAAATTGCGATTTCCCTCTCTCTCATTCATTATTTAATGTAAAAGCAATATGTATATTTTTTTTGATAGCAAAGTAATCAAGATTTAAAAAATTCAAAGGTTTAATAGATGCCATGCCATCAAAGAGTTGGTACATTTCATGAATGTTGAATCTCGTATCATCTATCTGTTACACTTCTGTCGGTAGCCGGAATGACGGATATTCTGTCCCACTCTCTTTGACAATGGTTCCATTGTCATCAGACGATTGTTACGAAATCCCGCGATTAATCAAGCGTCACGTGTATGCTGCGTTATTTACACATGCCACCTACGTATACCACTATCAATAGGCTTTGGTAACACATTCTTTTTTCTGACTATTGATACCTCACAAGATGGGTGTGAAAATTGATGCCCGATCGAAAAGAGATACATATGCTCTTTTATCCATTTTTTTATGAATGATTGGTATAGCCGATTTTCACGATTTTTCCCACGCGTTCTACTCTCTTCTATTTTTTACATCATAATTTCTTAATTCTTTTAGCTTTTATAATGTTTTGATATTTTTATAATTTATTGTATTACTTTCTTTTTGTTAATATTAACGAAATATATTGCATGATGTGTTATAGCAAGTAAAATCGTTTAATTAAGAAGAAAACCATATTTTTAATTTATATTTTCAAGTTAAAGGCCGTTATTGATTAGGAACGAATTGATTATATTGCTTAATATTATATCTTTTCAAATTAAAATCGCTTTAATGAAATATTATGAGAAACCGGGATGGTTGTACGCGTGCAATCGCTATGTACGATATTGACGCATTTGCATACGTCACTAAAGCAAGACCTTAACACACTGTTACGTCTGCAATATACTGTAAGTACACTACGACTCAACCTATATCATGTTTACGAAATTGCGTAGGGTGAATTGTGCAGTTACCTGTTCTTGGATAGTCCATTGGCCATTCCATTGATCCTAGGATCAATGCAACCGTTTACGGAATGCTCCGGGCGATTAGTTGTGAAACAGTGATGTAGCTTGTGTTTATTGCGTGTGTGTGTGCAATAAATATACTCTCGTTCGATATTGCTTGCGTTCACCACATAATTGACTAGTCGACTTTGTTACAAAACCTCCATGAGATTCTCCTCCAGTGTGAAAAAAAATCTTTTATTTTTTACTGCTGTACTGAAGTTTTATAACCCTGTGTATGTATATATGTGTGTGGGTGTGTGTAACAGCAATTTTCGCGTTATAGCGATTTCACTTTTTTACATCCTTCTTTCGCAAGATATATTCTAGAGATTCTTTTATATTAAGATAATTTACATATTTATATATTTCGGCATGCTAATATAAAATAATGATACTGCATTATAAATAGTTAATATTTTAACGTTTTACCAATTGAAATGATTCTGAAAAAATTCTAATCTTTAATTTTTACTTTAGGTATGCAAAAGAATGGAGATCACATAAATACTTAAAAGTAAAAATTGATGTTCGTAAAAATAAACTTTTTATTATATTAAAAAAGATCTAGATAAAAAGGGGATTATTAATACATTTTGTGTAATACAGAAATAATATATGTAACATTTTCCTGTTAAATATAATTCTTGAAAAATGAAATGCAAGAGTACTAACATAATAATAAAGAATGTTACTTAATTCTCGCACAGTCCAGTGCGAAAAAAAAATCCAGTTCTACTGCATATGTGAAAATATTGTTATACAATTTCCATAAAAGAACTTATAAAATTTTCCATATAATTTTGCATGCGCAATTTTTCCCATTTTTACATTATTATAATAAAAAAGGTCTACAATAGTTATCAGCGTTTCTGAAATTCTAGCTTTCACAATGTTGCTAAATTATATATTAATAAAAATATCGAGATCTTCCACATGTCGAGAAATATCTGTATTTTATCTAAATATCTGTTACCCTAGTAAGTAATTTTTTTTTATTCTTAGAGTATCATTATGGCGAATATTGCTGTCATGCTTGTTGAAGACGAGGAAAGAGTTTCCGGGGATTGCTGTAAATTATGATACAAATATCACGCGAACGCATAGAGGAAATTTTTTCGCTATTTCGTATGCCTACGATACGCTTCGGCGTGCAGAATAGCCAACTTTCGTTGCCTTTCGAATTACTTAAAGCTACTTTACATAATACGTATCATCGTGCGAGACGACACTTAATCACCGTACGTGATTATAACGCTGGTACAGGGTAAGAGACGGTTTTATGTAGCTCGTAAACCCATTTCCAACACTCTTAGAGTCTCTCTGGATGCGTTGCTAACTTCGAGCACTCCGTAAGCAAATTTTTTTCCTGCTTTCGTGAAAGCCAATGCTGTAGCTTTCAACTTTGTTTTCTCTTTTTAACATCACATATGGCCGTCTTGGAACTACAGTTTTGTTACGGAAGTTTCTCCGACGTGTAAAAATACGACGAATTGAAGTGTTCGCTCGAAAAAGGGCGTACAAGAAATGCAAAATATTATACAATTTTATTTTTTATTTTCCATCTTTTATCGTAACTTTGAAAAAATAACTCCTTCGAGTTATATGAACATGTCTTATATAATGTTGCAAAAGATGCAAAGAAAGAATTTTTTAAATTCCTAAAGATAATATTTTTTTGTAATAATATATGTGGAGGACAAGATGGAGAGATAATGGATAAATATTTCTCAGTTTTTTTAATATAAAAACGTTTTCGTATAATATCTACAAGCAGCATTCTCGTATAATATCTACAAACGCTTGATTGGAATCCAGTCTTATTTTTATCTTTTTTTTATTTTTCAAGTTTGGATATAGAGCACTTTCTCTCGTATAAAAGGCGCTCGAACGCACGTCATCGAGAGACCATGATTTTTCCAAGCGTAGCGTCCCGGGTATGAAACTCAGTTTTTATTTCTCGTACAACTCGTCCCCCGGCACGGTATCAGCGTGGCCATAAGTCAGAGAGGCTTTCCCGTATGCGAGATGCGTGTCCGCGGGGCCCTATACGCGAGCCGTTGTTATTCCAGGCGCATCTCTTCCCGAGAACTGTAGGATTCAGTGCGTTAACTTTGAAATTCCCCGTGTGGCCGAAGTCTCCCGTTGTTAGCCGTCCGGACGGCAATTCCCTTCTTCGCAGGAAATCGCGCATTCGAGCCTGTTAAGTCGGTAACATATTGTGTTTTACGAGCGTCGCCGAATTATACGGCCGAATAGAATTATTTCCCGTGTAATTGCGTGTCATAAAGTCTCTATAACGCCAGGGATGTATCTCATATTAATTTAATAATGTTATTTTAGAAAGCATCTATATATAATAGGAAATCTATAGTTTACGTTAACTGATTGATAGCTGATTTCTCAGTTTTATCATAAATCTTTCTGCTTTCTCTTACAGTTAATGCTATGGCACCAACTGGAAAATTTAGGCTAAATGTATAATACTTTAATTTTACATCTATTTATATAATAAAGATTGCGTTATCTTTCTTTATAGTTTTTATTCTTTACTTACTAAATAAATATACCTACTATTCGATTTGTCTCTCTCTCTCTCTCTCTTTCTCTCTCTCTTTTTACGAAATAAATTAAATAGATTTTGTGAATAAAATGATAATGATAATCGACTAAAACTACTGATAGTATGTGTGAATGATACTAATAATAGTTTATTCTATTTTCACTCATCTTTGCTTCAGTCAAAGGCAAATTTTCGCAGAACCCTCAGCCCTTAATTCTCCTCTTGCCGCAGAAGCATGCGGTTTACCAAAACATTATTCGTTCGACGTTTCGTCCTTTGAGAAGAAAGATGGATTTCGCAAAATCGCCCCAACGACGATTCCGAGTTTGAACTACAAATCTCTTCTATGTGCACAACGTAGTGGTTAAATTCCCGTTTGTCCGTGAAATTACGTATCCACGGAGGTTTGACTTCGTATAATTTTCCGACAGTTGCACCAGAACTATGAACATTTAAATCGCGAGGGCTTATTTCACGAAGTCTCTCCGGTTTTATTAAACGATTCTCGGCACGACAAGTACGAGGGTACGTTTTGGAAACAAACTTTAGATGAGTTACGCTCGTCGAAAGTTAGACGACTTTGGCATACTACTTGTGTCATAAGTGCACGTCATTTCGAAGCCATGAATTGTTTGTCGAACCATCTCTGAAGTATCGTGCGCGGAATTATTAAAGAGCATCGTCTTTTAAATGTAGTTGAAAATATTCCTATAAAGTAAAAGTTTAATTATAACTCATTAATGTGTAGCATTTGTTTTCGACGGGATGAAATACTTTTAATATTTATAGCATCTCTTTTGGACCATAAAGCGATTTATATTCGCGTAATAATCTGTCTATCGTAAAAATTTTACATACATCCAGCTGCTTTCTGACGCGTAAACAACCTTCCTCTAACACTAATGCGTGTAAAACAAAGTTCGTAATTATATGATGTACGCGTGTCGGCAAATTAATGTGCGCTCACGGGTAGCGAATAATTTAATTAATATATCAGCTCGTTAACAACGGACGGGTAACTTCTTTAACTTTAATTGGATTTCATCTTCTTGCCGTTTAGATCGTTTCTAATCAGAAGGGAAGTTTTCTCGATAAGTTTGATAAGCGCTTCACGAGACGCTGCTCTATTGCATTCTTGTCGCTGCCAATGCATAATTATGTGCTCCTCGTTTAAATGACTTAATTAGACGCGTCTAATAAAACCACCGTTGCAAAGTTAACGGATTTATATAAATATTACACACTCTTCATGATTTACACGTTCATACAGGATATTTTATTAACGACGTGTGCCGATCATTAACGGCGTGTGCTCATTTGACGAATACATTCTTTTTGCAGGGAACTCAGATGCAGGAAATGAGACAGGACGGTCAAGCGAGGAATTATCAGTCACAGGACACCTACTCGTAATTATCCCGTTCATTTCACGCATGAATTATTTAAATCTTTATTTGAAGAAATTTATATCTCAGATACCGGTGTTCTATCGATCTCAAATCTATTACTGATATAATCGACGTTTAATAAAATAAAATAAAATCATTTTCCAAATGCAATCTAAGCGATCGATCAGTAATATCTGTGCCAACGCATCGCGTTAATGCCCTCGAGAAATTAAATTTCCGTTTATTATCCCTATCAGATCGACATCCGGAGCGGTACCGAGGACGACGAAGATCGACGAGGAGAAGACGAAGTCGCTGTCTAGGACCTACCACACCATTAAGGACATGATCTCGAGCCGTTTCGGACCGAGTCGTAAGGACGTCGAGCCGGAACCGGAAGCCAGTCTAAATAACGTCACGGAGGAGCTGCGAAAGTCAAGCAGAAGCATCGACGACGACGAGGCCAGGAAGAAGGAAGGAATCTACGGGAAACCTCGCGCGCAAGAGCCGTCGGTTAACGTGCAGCAATATTCGAAAAATGCTTACGGTAAGTCGAACGCGGTGGAGTAAGGTGCCGCGTAAAGTAATTAGGCGCGTTAAGGCGTGCGCTTACTACACAAGGTGCTCGTTAATTGAAACTCATTAATGTTGATGAATTAATCTGAGGAAAGAGCCTTGTTGAGCGGAACGTTAGATGATGGAATCACGAGTTTTCTAAATGCAAAGTATTAAGCAAGTGCATAGCGTGTGTACATAATAACGGTTCTTTTTGCAGCTTCTTGAAGCGCACAAATTTTGTAATTATACAAAAAGCAATTAACTTACCACAAATTATACAAAAGCTTAGATAATAAATTCTTAGAATACATTGGGTGTATATTATATATATACCTATATTACTATTATTTATAATAATTTATATAAATTAAAAATAAATTGCAAATTATGTTGTGTTGAATATCATTGTTTAAAGACAATGATATTCAACATAACATTATCTGCCACAGCTGATGATTAATGTATGTGAACCATATTGTATTGAAATTACATAGCTCTGATTTTTATTTAATAAGTTAACTTATTTCACACCGCTCGTAACTTACAGCTTGTCATTCACAGCTTACTGAAACGTGCACGCGACTCAAGACTTTCTTTGTTTTCGCGCGGCTGTTATTCATTCATTGCAAACTTCTAAAGTCACAGCGTACGAGAACGAGCGTCTCGTAATCGCAATATCGTCGTTATTATTTCGCGATCTACTATAGCTTTAATACAGAAGTAATATCTCTCTAATCGTTTGCTCGATTTGAGATTAGTGGTCTATAGGTGAATGTTGAACTCTTTCTCGTTTCGAATGTAAAATTAATAATTCAGCAATCTTTAACTGTCGAATAAAATACAGGAATAATTTAAAAAACGTTAGAGAGAATAGACATATATTGATAGGGGATAAAGTTACATTTGTAGAACCGATGAATATTTAATGGATAATATAAATATGCTTTGGAGAACATTGTTGAAGTCAACCGTACAATTTAATTTTATTTATTTATTTCCCGTTTTAACCGTTTTAATGAGAAATTTTTCCTTTAATATCTCGAATTTCGTTGAAATTACATACTTGTGCCTTTTACCGTTTGAGCTTTTATGTCGCAATTTCTATGATCATAATAATAACTTGTTCATGAAATAAGCGTTTCAAACGTGTAGTTGACGGGAAACGGGGGAGAAACTTTCCTTTTAATTAACTTTAGCGTATTGCATATTCATATATTTTAGCGTTCCCAATGGTGTTTAGAACGAACACACTTTATGATGCAATATGTTAACTTTACTTCAATTTCACAGGTAGCAAAAATATCTGTATAAAGATGCATATCTGCATTTATACATAGCGTGTATTATGCGTTCTCACATAAATTTAACAAAAGAATTTATTTATTTCAGTTCAATATATAAACTGCGACAAGTTTTTGGATGGCGTGTATTTAAAAGAGAAAAATAATATTTTTTAACGCAGATGAGCCATATATACGGCTAGTGCTAGAATAAATTTTTTTTCTCGTAATAATATAATGGATAGAAATAATATTGGAACTCTTTCTCTCGTCACTTAGGCCAGTACGGTCACTCATACGTCTATCAAAGCAACCAGCAAAACGTACCTTTGCCAGGCCAACTACAGCCAACCACGGCCATTCAGCCGAATTTACCGGGACAGAGTGCTCAGCTCCACGTGAGCCACCACACTCCGCCAGGAGGAGTTCAAACGGTTCATCAAACCCAAGTTTCTGCTTTTGGCCAAACCGCGACAGGTGCGCAGCAGGTGCAGAATGTTACGAGAGAATACGTGGTTCAGACACCGAGCGGTATGACTGGCCAACAAATGCATCAAGGAGTCCATCAAAGTCCCGCGCAAGGACAGGTACAATTCGTAAGATTAAGATGAGAAATATTCACGGCGTCTAACTTTGATAAAAGTCACAAGCGAATAATAAAGTGAAAATTTGATATTAAAAATTTTCGAGACGGAGAGAGAGTTGAATATTTTACGCTGTTTCTTGGAAAAAAGGACCTGTGTGTGGCATCAAAGATTTTTTTTTAATTATAAATGAAAAAGAAACTCCTTTAAAAATTAAAATTACAGGTTTTCTTTAGTGAATAAAAGTCAAAATGTCAAAAGTCAAAATTCCAAAATGTCAGAATAATAATTTACATAAAATATTATTTGTTAATTACTATTTTATAAAATTACTTAAATACAATATTATTTCTCATATAAAAATTGACTCTTTTAAAATATCTTTTAAATATTTCTTTTATATATAAAGAATATCTTTTTCAAAACATTTTTATTTTAAAAGTGTGATATTATTCAAGATGCTTTTTTATGTTGAGTGCCGTTATATAAAGAATAAAAATATAAAGAATTATTTTTCTTCTTCTCTGTTCTCTCAAAATTTAACTTGTAACAAAACGATCTTTTTAATGAAAAATTGATGTAAAAAAATCTGTTGAAAATGCCTTATAATAAAAAGATTGATTTAAAGGAAATATATATCGCAGTGTTTGATACGTAAAATATTGTCGCATTCTTATACGGATGCGGATATTTCTTGCGTGCATGATACAAAGGAACTCAACAGCGGGCAGAAAAATAAATGTCTCACAGCTTGTCACGTGTTTTCTTTTCATAGTGACATTTCCTTCATATATATTCAAATGACGTAACAATGTAGACAATCACCAACCATCTTTTATACGCGAACGATTGCACGTAGAATGTTAGATTGTGCGATGTGATATTCAAGATTTAACATATACCGTAATATGTAGCGTGACAAGCCTCGTGGAAAACGTTCTGTCCGTCGTGTATAATGATTGATACTTGCTTAATCGCGTGCCAAGATTTTAATTTGTTAAATAACGGTTGTTGTAATTATAATTAACTCTACGTAATACTATGCTAATTCTACGAAGAGCAATGCGATATATCATTCATAATGATGCTTTCTTAATATTTTCCGCTACTTGCACACTAAAAAAGCTTCGTAAACTCATTGCACTTCCTCTACGGGAACGTTTTTCAAAGATAAATTAAATTCTAGCTAAGATGAAGAGTTCTAATACGTTACCAAATCTACAAGAGGCGAACAAGCATTCGCTACTTAACGGTAACTCATTGTTAACGATTCGGTTGGTTGCTTCAGGGGCAAGGCACGCAAAAACCGCACGGTCTATCCGTGCAGCAGCATCAAGTAGGTAACGCGATGCCGCCGACGAGCCAAAGCTTCCAAAGTCCCCAGCAGTTGCTCCATCAAAATCAAAATCATCACCAGAGTCCGCGGTTCGCGCAGCAGCACGCCCAGAATTTGCATCAACGTCAGTTGATCCAGCAGATGCATCAGCAACAAATGACTGGACAGCCAAATTCGCAAACAGCAAGCGCGCGAAATGTACAGCAGTCGTACTTCGCTAATAGCGTCTCCTATCAACAATACCAGCAGGCCAGACAGGCCATGTCGAGATCCCAAATCGATCTTCCGAGCACATCCAGACAGGCGCAAGAACTTCGTGTGTCGGGCCAGGAGATGTACTATCATTACGCTCAGGGTAGACCTCGATACGGCGTTCCCCAGGTCTACATGAAGACCGAGAGCACTCAGGAGACAGAATTCCAGAGGCGGAACTCCGCCAAGGGTATCGAGAAGGCGGCTTCGCAACCGCAGCTCTGTTATGAAGACGAGCGAAACGCTGAAGCCGCGAAGAATCCCACGGAGAACATGAAGAACCTCGCGGTGGACCCATTAGACAAGGAGAGGTAAGGTTTGAAGATGTATTAAAGAGTTTATTTAGACGCGTCATGTGTTTGAAACTGGAATCTCTTCTTCAATACATAAAAAGAGCAAAAACAAAATAAATTTTGTAAGCTTTCTAAAATGTGGATCTATGAAATACGTTTTAGATACGAGATCACAGTGGAAGATCGAAATCAGGGTGAAACGCCTGGAAGAAACGGATCGCAAAGGAACGAGGAGTACCGTCCGGAGACCAGCTTTGGTATACGACGAGATGAGACACGGGCCTCGAAGAAGGAACAAGAGCAAGGATCGTCAGGTCAAGAGGGAAGTCACACAGCGGAGGGCAACTCCGTACAAAAGAGAATTGAGGAGTTGCAGAAAAGAGCGGAGCAGGAGGGTCATTTTAATTCTAAACTCGCTAGCGATGCGGATGGCTTGAGAGTCGGCCTGGCCACGAAAATGATCGGCGAAGCGTCGAAGAGGCTCGAGGGCGGGCAATACTCTGGAAAAGAGACCGTAGTGAAATCGGATAACAGGAAAGACGACCTGGAGCAGGGTATTGGCCGGTTGAAGATCCAGAATCAAGGTTCCGGCTCGGATTACGACAAGGCCGGTCAGAGTTCCTCGAATGTCGATTCCGGAAGAGGCTCCGCAATTTATTCAAGCGGAAGACGCCCGCCGCCCGATGATCACACTCTGGCACAAGGTAAGGATTGATTTTTTAGTTATAATTTTTTCTGATTTACATACTTGATACTTTTGATATAATGAATATGAATAATATTGGGCTATCAAAAAAAATTTTTTTTATAGGATTTTATTATATATATACATATATATGTCTCACGTTTCAAAGAAATTCATTAATGTTTGCTTATTACATTATTTTAACGTCTAAAAAATTTTAATTAATGAAACTAATTGTGTTTTGCACAAAGAAAATTTTTTTATTACTTACTTTTTTATTACAGAAATGTATTATAGGTTTATTACTTTGTCTATTTATGTAACATATTACACAAAAATAATTATGAAAATTTATTATCTATATTTTCTAGTTTTTAATATATTCAATTATTCAATCATTTGCATTTGTCTTTTGTAAAGTTTTGAAGTATCGATCGCTAGTCAGTCTATCGAGAGTTCGTGGTTTCTATCTCCTCGTTCCTCTTTCATAGTACAAGACTCCGAATGGGTCGACATAGTGGAGTCTGAGTTGAGGAGTATTCTGGAGCCCAGGGACGTTCCAGCGATGGCGCACTCTACCTTGTCCGAAAGTGTATCCTCAGTGACACCACCTCTACCGCCGTTGTCACCCCATGACAGTCCACGTACACCGAGAAATCGATACTCAACGAGGTAACCTGACTTCAAACAAGGTCCCTCTTCTTCGCACAACCGGTGTTACTTCCGGTCACCGCCCCGAGCCACTTCCGAATTTGTTACCTACCCGGCATATCGAAATTCCAATATCGGTGTCTGGCCGAAAAATGGCTTCTACGATTAAAAATAAACGCTTTCCCGTTGCAGCTTTTAAATTCTTAGTTATAAGACTTGTGTGAAATATTCATTCAGCGAAACATTAAATTTTTAATTATTTAATTATCCTTATAAAAAACTATCTTACATTGGATAATATGTTCAATACCTCTCTATTAATTTGTGCTTTAATATATGCATATAATGCGAGTGTGTTAAATACAAGTTACAATATACTTTGATACATGAGTAATATATGCTCATTAAAGCATAGATATTAAATAAATCATTACTTTTTTCTTAACATTTCCAATGAATTAATCCAATGAATATAAATTAATTTTTCATTGTTTAACGTGAAATAATCTAGCTCTTTTCGCTTTTATTGTTTGATCTAAAATTTAACACTTTAATACTGCTTCATGCGCGAAGGCTTAATGCTTGTTAGTATTAATAATAGCGTCTTTGTGGAAATTTTAGTTTACCGTATGGGTTGAAACCAAATTACAGCGATTATAGCAAGGCTATGGAGAAGAGAGGTTTCTCGAGCAGCGCAAAACATCGTGGCGCTTCAACATCCAAGAAGGAAGCTGCGAAAAAGTTTTCTCATCGTAAGTAATTAATCACTTTAAAGAGACGAGTATTTTCTTAAAATTTACACTTTTTCTATAAACATAACATTTTTTTAATTTCATAATACTGAACTAATATTTCTTTTGTGAATAATTAATATAATATAATAAATTTATGGAATTTTTTATTTCCACATGCAAAAAGTAATAATAATAATTATATAGAAATTAAAATAAATCACACATAATTATCATTGTATTAATTTTTTATATTTGATCAATTAACAAAATTTATTCTAATAGTTAATAAGTGTTTTTACCGAGTCTTGATTTTTTTTTAAATTAATATAGTCGTGTATCTATATAAATATTTTCTCTTTCAGTTTTCGGAGTAGAAGCCGCTGATTTAACATCCACCACGACGGGACTTGATTTGGATTCTATGTTAGATAGGAGTGATTCTGATCTCAGTACTACCGATGCAAGAACGATCAGGAAACAATTGGAAGGATTAGAAAATATGTACAGCGAAGTGAGTTCAATATCCTTTTAATACAATCATTCGCTATTTTTAATTTTATGTTTTACCAAGAATCTTGTGTTACACAAAATTAACATAAAATTGCATCGCTTTCTAAATTTCTTTTAAAAATAAAAATATATTATTATATTACATATTTTAAATATAAAATAAGATAACAATCTCTTTTCTCTCTCTCTCTCTCTTTCTTCTTCTTCTTTTTTCTTTACTACATTATTAAAAATATAAATATATAACCATATTTAATTGTTATACTTTTCTAAAAAATCAGTATAATAATATGCAGAGGCAAGACGCAAAGTAACTGACATCCATTGCATATGTAAATTTAAACGTAAAAATATTAGACATGTCACTTTTCCTACGGTCGCGGTAAAATGGGACTACGTGCTAAAATTAACGAGGACATGGTACGTTGAAAGTGCTCATGGCACCAGCGTAATTGAATTTATCTCAATTTGCATGCGAAAAAACTGTCGCAGGTACTTAAATTACTCGGCGGAAGCGTGAAAAAGAGACGGAAGGCGAGAGGACTTACTAGTTATGGTTCCGTTTCATCGTTGCCAACATCGTCCGTGTCATCCAGACCTGTCACGAGGCATCATGACAAACGTAGATCCCACGTGATAGATGACAGGATGAAGAAAGCCAAAGACATCAAGGTTAGTGAAGTTAATGGATATTTTTCTGTTCTCTTCTTACTCATACATAAAAGATTTTCCTTTTAAAGCCTTTGACAGATGTAAAATTTGGAAAGTACTATATTATTAAATATTTTATGATTTAGAAATCATTATTCTATTTTATTTAAAATAATTCTGTCATTGTAAAATCTCTGTAAAATAATTTTTTCATTGCGCAGAGCATCAACAAGCGTTTCCAGCGATTGGAATCGCATGTGGTGACATTGGCAAGATCTGTGGCACACTTAAGTTCAGAAATGAGGACTCAGCATTTGATGATACAGGTGAGAGAACCGTTAGAAAAAATTACAGTGCGAAACGAGCTGGAATTTCCAAGACTCTACTACTACCAGGTTTTCGCAGGAAATGGAGAGCATAAAATGCGAGATTGCGACTCTAAGAACGCAAACGAGCATGGCGATGGTCAGGTCACATTCGCAACCCCTGATCAAGGATTCGGAACTGCCGGCGCTTTCCAATCCTTCGAGGGTGAAGAAATTGACCAAGTTCTTCGGCACGGAGCCTCCTCTTATCAGATTATTTCTGAGGGAACTTGGGTATGAGGTAAGAATGTCATTATTTATATCGGATACATTTCAGAAAAAAAAGTAAATCATTTGATACATTTGTCTAAAAAATTTTTTTTTTAATATTTAAATATAAAATATAAATATCTAAATATTTATTTTGTTTTTAAACTATCGAAGCATTTATGTTTTTAAATAATGAGCTATTTAAAAAAATATATATAAAAAGATTTTACATTATTCCTTGATTGAAGGAATAATGTAATTAAATAATAATTACGATATTTTTCGTGTATATTTGAAGAAATACGCAGTTGCTTTCGAGAAAGAAAAAGTCGGAATGGTGGAGCTGCCTTATCTGAGCGAAGAGAGGCTACAGAAGATGGGAGTTCCTTTGGGTCCGAGGCTGAGGATCCTTCAGGAAGCGAGGATTTCAGTATGCAAAGATCCGATTTACGTAGTATGAATCTTTCGGGGGGGGGGGGGGGGAGGGAAAATTGAAGAAAAAAGATCTGAATCTGGAGAAAGGAGAATAAGAAGAATAAGAAGAATGCAAATCTAGCGCGGGATTCGTTTCCGCTATTGATTGACGAACGTGTCAAAGCGCTTCTTATATACAAAAGGTATCTTCGAGCTCCGATATCCTCGAAAACGCTGTAAGAATCGTTTGAACGACAACTCTCTTTCTCGTTTGTACAATTTACGCTCGCTGAAATGCGCAATTATTTCACAATGTGTTTGACAGACAGATTTGTTCTGTCGTAAGTTCGCCATTGTAGATTAATTCAATCAGAACGAAAAGATTAATCCGCATGTTTAGATAATTTATAAAATAGCAATCCGATCGATAAAAAGGTGCTTCTCTCTCTCTCTCTCTCTCTCTCTCTCTCTCTTTCTCTCTCTGACGTACATTAAATTTTTTAAGAATTAATATATTGAAAATACAAATTTTGTTTACATTTATATAAAAAATATTGATGTAAATAAATATTGCAACTACGAAGAATTACAATCCTAAAAAGTCTTTTTTAGACAATACATTATTTACTGATTATAAATAGCATCTATATCTTTTATCAATAACATTTACACAGTTTTTTCGAACAAATATTTAAAAAATATAATAATAGCTGAATATTGATTGTCTTAGCTAATTTCTAAGAATCCATATTTGCTCGACGCATAGATATCATCGTAATCGTTTATGAAATATTTCGCATTTCATTATCGTAAACTGATAACGCATTTCTTCGAATATTGCAAAACGATGTGCTTACGATGGAAGCAAAAGCATAAACTCATAAATAAGATTAAAGCTTAAGATTAAAAGAAAAAATTAATATGCGTTATAAATTTTATTCAGTTACACCGAAAAAAAAATTATGAGTGCATGTAAAGATAATAGCAAAAATAAAAGGCTCGAAGAGCGTAACTTTAGATAAGGGACTGCGATTTGGTGATTCGAAGGCCACTAAAAATGTAAATGCTTTTATTATCGGTACGACCTTCTTGCTAGTTCTAAGAGAGATCTATTGTTAGACTGTATTTATCTTGCGCAGAGAAATGAGTAGAGAGATACAACGTAAAGATGACTTGGCTCGCGAGAACCTTGACTGTTCCGCCTTCCCAGGTCGTTCGTTAGAGATGATAAGATTACTATGTAGATTTAGATTATGCGCGTACGCACTGAACGCCGATGACGTGGCTCTACCGTGGGCGATAATTCGTGGCGCTGATAAAGCTTGGCGATTAGAGAAAAGTCATGCACATTGGGAACAATGAATCACAAAGGTATGTTTGCCAAAGAGACGTGGGTGTCGAGGTGGGATATAGAATCCGAGATTTTTCATTACAAAAAAAATCCAGATTTTTGTAATATTTATATTTTGTACCGATATTATAATTTTTGTTCGTCTATCGCTAGCAAAAATTGAGTTTTAATTTTCTCAAAAATAACGCTATGTGTTGTTTTCGACCAAATTTCCGAGACACCGTGTACAAAAACATAAAAAGTAAGATAAGTCACCGTAACAAGATAATCGAGATTTTGTCATGGGATTCCTGAGTTTGCTGTTACGTAGTTGAAAACGTTCGTATCTATCGATTAGTCTTACCTGAGTAATGCTTCATGCGCAATTCGCATTATTACGATATATCTAAGTTCGCTTTTCTTGGAATACAGACTATTTATATAGAACAATCAGGCATGTCTAATGGCGTGAAATAGTAATAATGCTTTTTTGACATATTCCTGTGCTCGCTTTGTATTATCCTAAATTTCGGTTGCATGCTACCATGCATCGTGTAATGTCGATACCAAAGAATCGATACCTGTTCCCTTGTCGCGACGACGACAACGATAATCGCTGCTCGTGATTGCGAGTCACATGGAGTCACGAGAAGACACGCCACATTTTGATACTCGAGCAATAGCGCTTCGTATTCTCATCCGAGAATACATAAATCGTAGATTTATTAATCGGCAATATGTATTGATAATGCATTGTTCATAAATTTAATTATATGCATTATATTTTCAGCGATTAATTCTGATAAATATTTTAAGAATGATACGCAAATTTTTTAAGTTTCTAGTTGATGCTATGTATTTCGAGTTCCACTTTGTTCTCTATCAATATATTAACTATTGTACAGTTAATTAGTTCTATAAATGTTTCTATTATTCTATTATTATTATTATTATTATTATTATTACAAATAGTATAAATCACATATATATTTTGCAAGTGTAATTAAAAATAAATATTCTATTTGTATATATTAAATCTGAAGAACTATATATTTTTGTTGAAAAATTATCGTAATCATATAACAATTTCATATTGTTGATACTTTGTTGACAACAAGCTATAATTAAAAAACTTTATAGCTCGAAGACATATGCGCGACAAAGAATGATAATCATTATATTTGTATTGTTGCCGTCATGTTGTCGTCATGATGCTTTAGATGAAATGATAAATCATCAGTTATTGTCATGTTGCTGATAACATTATATATGTATATCGCTGATCGTTTGCTTTCGAAATTTCGTCAACTGATTGCTTGGATAAGCTCTAATGTTGCTGTATTCAGTAACGCGTTCTATTTCGATGTTAGCAAATATACAACAAACATATAACAACACATGCAGTGCATTAGTTTGTTAAATATGATTAATCACGCTTGGTTATCTGGGATATTGATATGTCATACTGTTGTTCATATTGATCAACAACTACATTTTTTATAGAAATTGTAACATAATTTTCTTTTGTGTTTGGCATTATATTTAGAGCTTTCTTATTTTTCTGCCCGTTTTCGTATTTAGCTCTTAGTTTCAAAATCCATCTTAGAAATAATTTAGAATCATATTTCAAATTATGGAATAATATTGGTACAAAACTTGGTAATTTTAGTTTTAAGTTGCAGCTGTCATGAGCTGCCCCACGATAACGCCCTGTGTAGTGATCATTTAATATTATTATTTTTATTTTTAATATTTGTATTATTATTATTATGTTGTTAAATCTTGTATTTAATAAACAATTGCAGAGATAAAACTTCAGCATTTATAAAATATGCTGATTGCAGATAAAACGCTTCAGGAGTTATGAAACGTGTTGATATATTATACATTTTCATTGAAAATGTGGATGCACGATATTAAGCCGTTTCAACAACATAATAACTGGAGATTTCCCAGAATGAATGGAAAGTTTGAACATAGCATTATAATATTTATCATAATGCCTTCATTTTGATATTTAGAATCGATATTTGTTAACGATGACGTCTCTCGAGTTATTAATAGTTTTCTATTTACAACGTAACAAAAATAAAAAAAGATTTATTTATAAAGCATTATTTCTCATTTAGTTTCTAAAATGAATTCAAATATAATTTTTATTTAAAATTTATAAGATTTATTTAATGTTAAAATTTAATGTCAACATTCAAATTTAAAAAATTGTGACGAATAATAATATCTCGAGTCCAAAAAAAATTAAATTTATATTTTAAAAGAAAATATGAACTTTATATATCTGTGTCAGAATTCATATTTATATATCACAACTGTCAGAATTCATAATCGGCGTGATAAATTTTTCGACGTGAAGCCGCTCTCTTCTGTTGGTCGGCGAAAATTCGTGGCCTTCTCGTTACGTTTTCTGAACTTTCTGCCGCGGCCAGTTCCTTCGTGAATCAACTGCCTTATTCAATTGAATAATTGCGCATTAACTGTTACAACGTATAGCGAACGGGTCGACCAAAGTGATCTGTTATTATGGCCTCTGACCTCGGGCCGCGCCGCGACAAGCCGTGCCGGTAATCGGCGCTCTCCGGACGATAATTATTTTGCTTACAGTTATCCCCGATCAATCTCGTAATGAGAGTTGGAAGTGCATGGCACTAGGTTTTTAATTATCGAAAAATTGCGTGCGTGTCCAACGATGATTACCGCTAATTGCCGCGCTAAATATCGCGTTAATTTCTGATTAATATCTGCGTCCGCAAGGCGGAAGTGCAAAAGTGGATGATGATGCGTTTCAGTGAAGTTTCAAGATATCTCTTGTTTTAATGTAAGTAAATACTCCCACGTTGATGATTAAAACGTCTCTTGAGCATTATGTGAGGAAATATAAATTGGGAAAGCTAATCTTAAATAATTTTTGCGAGAGATCTCATATTAACTTTAAAGAATATAAAGACAAATAAAAAGAATTGGAGACTTGCAAGGAATTGAAGGCTTCCAAGAAATTTATAATATATTATAAATAACCAGTATTTTTTTATTATAAGATATCATTTTGTAATTAAATAACAAGCGAAATAAAAATGTTAATTTTGTTTCTCGATGCCATTAATCTAATCTATCCCGGTCGATAGCCTAGCTATTTGTCTAATTCAGTCTGCGTGCAAGACACGAATATAATTATCACAGGCGCCGCGTTGTTGATGTAATAATATGAAGATAAATGGAACTGTGATACCCTCCTTCTCTATCGATCCTCTTCCGACGATCAAACATCAGAAACAATTAAAGGGACAATTATCTAATAATAGTGGATAAGAATCGTTTGATCGTCGAACTTAACTGATGATCGAATGGAAAATAATGTTTCCGCTATTATATAATATATCCGACGAATAGAGAGATTTGACCCACATTTCTCTCATTTCTACATCGAGAAAAAATCGAAGTAATTGAATTCAAAATGGCTTAAAAAGGGGTTGCGGTATGAATGAACTCGCATGTCTCCGATTACGTATTGTAAATTTCGACAGAATCGACGGCGGGACCGTCTTCCGGCCACTTTTATCAGGAAATGCACAATTTAACAATTGTGGCCAATTATTTTTCTAGCGGTCTCGTCTTTGATTGGTCATCTGAGACCGCGCCACGTTGTGGGCCTTTACGTTGTGCAGTATGTCACCGTGTGTGGCTGAACGAACGATCGTCGAACTCTTATATTTTGTCTGTCTACCAAGGGGATATCTTGTATATAGGCCGAATCACATGCTCGCAATATGATGTTGCTTCATAACTTTGCATCGTTGGCAAACATTCCATATATAGTTACTATATATATCAATCAGACAAATAATAACTATTATGTATTAATAAATGTTAATAAATGTGTAAATCTAAATTATATATATATATAATTAATAAAATAATCATATTCTTGATCAAAACATTTGTTTTTTTCTATAATGTATGTATAACAAAAATTATTTATACACACACACACACACACACACACACACAAGTAAAATAAACAAATAAATTTATATTAGAAACATCAATGAAAATATTTTTTAAAATATGTTATATATTTTTAGCAATTTTCTCAGATAGAAACGGTATTTTACAATCGCATAAAACTTCGATCAATTTTCGTAAATAAATAATTTCGCATTATAAGATGCGATCAATTTACATCTAGGAACATATAGATTCCGGTGATAACATTTTATAAATGTGGACACTTTCCGCTTGAAACATTCAAAACCAAGTGACGACTTAGCTAGTATAAAAATGGATTTACTTTTAAATATGTAGAGTAAAGATACTATTGTTCTGTTTCTTTCATGTTTGGCTATTATAATATATAATGCACACGATATTACTTTGCGATAAAGCTATTTATGGATAACTGAAATAATTATGTCACAAGAATAAATACATTTATTTTTTTAAATATATTTTAATCGATGTGAATTATATTGTGCAACTTTATTGTGCTATTTAACCAAGCCATGTATAATCCGAATTATTAAAATCACAAATAAATATATAATTATTGTAAATGCAGGTTAAAGCCCGAGCGCCTAGATACTGCAAAAATCACACACATATAGAACTCTTCCTTATCCCTCCAAAAATCAATCAAATATATAATTTTATAAATATTATATAAGTCGAGCTCTCTTTTTTCTTTCTGCTTAAGAATTATTGATAAATAATAATGGTATGTTTTTTATTAAGTTATTTATTAATAATTATATTATGATAAGAATTATCATGTTTGACATAGTATAAAGGCAATAATGAAAGATTGCATTATTAATACGGATATATAGTTTATTTTATTAAATTATTGATCGGCGAATTATAATCATTGTGAAGGATGATATATTGGATTTAAGAACAGCTTCACTTCACCAATTTAATTTGGAACATAAAACAGCATTCTTGCTCTTGCTCGTTCCACAATTTCCATTTGAGATCATACGTTCGCTGTAATAGAAATATGTTTTAAATAACATTCTAAGATTGATTTTCTCTTCTACGTAAAAAATACTTATACATTATGAACCATCTTTTTACATCTCAAATTATATTTAAGTTTTCTATTATTTTATCGTTTCAATATTGAACTTTAATATTTGAATAGATTTCAATGCAAGAAATTGTGTGTAGTCAACATTTATATGAATCATACATATGTAAAAAAATATTACATAAAATAAAATAAAACTGAGAAAAAGATAGCTGTGATAAACAAATATGTATTATAAAATGTTCATAATTATTTATACATATATATAAATGTAGTATGAGATAAGAATAAAAAATGGCGAATATTTACAATAAAATCTATAAATTATTTACCGCAGGGAATTTCTTAGAGATTGGCAATATAACCGAGTATGTTTGTTTTTGACCAGGCGTAGTTGGACAAACAGTAGATGCGCAAGCATCAAGTGGCATACCCAAAAATGGTAAATCTACGATTTCCGAAGCCCAATATGCTCTGCTGGATAACGAATCACCATTGAACTCTGGAATAAAATATATATTATTAATACATTATTATATATCTTGAGTATTATGATCGATATTTTTTAATCCAGAGTGAAAAGTATTTTCAAAGATGAAATAAAGAATTAACGGTATCTTTTAAAGTTTACATAAATTATATTTTACTACATAATATTTTCTTATATTTTAAAGTATTGACTTATAAGCGTTAACACATAAAATATTAGGGCTATACATTGATCTTTTTGTTAATAATAATATTTAAAAAATTTTTCTAATTTATAATATTTTATTAGAATATATTGCTACGATTCGTAATAATATTTAATGATTGTTACGTAATTTTTAATAATTGCTATATATTCTATTTTTCAATATATCTTTTATATACATATAAAATTCAAAATTCAAAATATGCATATAATTGTAAATTAAAAGTATGATCAACTTGCTCATTTCAAAGATATAAAGTTCGAGATTATCTAATTAACGTTTCTGCAATCCATTTTTATTATTTTAATATAAATGAAGCATATAAAAAAACTTCGATTATACTTACCGGAGGTGTAGTCAAAGCTTATGCTCGCATTGCGACCCTTTTTCAAAGAACATGGTTTTCTTTCTTCAGCTTCCCTGCATGGATTTACACGTACTTCGTGTACAGTACAAACAGAAGTGACATTTTCAGCTGAAACATTGATGATAAGATTTTATAGAGAGAGTCTATTCAAAAAGTTGTGCGCATGTCTTTTGAAATTCTCACATCTCATTTATTCTCATTTAGTCTATAACTTAAATAGCAACAGGGGGCATTAAGAATAAGAATTATCATGATATATTAAAAATATTAAATAAGAAGAGATTATTTTATAAAATATGTGTAAAAAAAAGATATCATTTTACTTGCGTCACACGCTATGAATCAAATAATGGATATTTTTATAATATTTTTGAGTTATCTTTATTCATCTTCATACAATCCGTTGTTTTGTTTTCGTATAAGAAATAATGAGATAAGCGCGCGTAAATTGCAGTAAAAGAAACATAAAAAGAAGCAGCACGTGTCATCGATGGCGCAATTTTTTGCGGATCGGCGCAAACTAGTTCAAAACTACAATCCAGCAAAGTTTTCCAAGTCTAGATAAAGCGAAATAATTTTTGCATCTTGATCTTCTTTCTTGTCTTTTTACGAAATCGCGTGCCGGATGTTCGGTTCATTTTTCGAAGATCAAGAACTCAGTTATAAATTATAATACGCGAAAAAAACTCTCGCAAATATTCGGTGAATACACGGAAAATTTATTAAATTATATTTCAAGCGAACATATCACCTCTATCTATGTCGAAGTTTCGCCGCTTCATTGATTTAGCAGATTTTTCCCCAAACTATTTTATCCGGAAAGTTAAGGTTTAACTGCTCTTTTCTACGAACAATAAATTTACGTTTTCGACGCGCTTTCATCTATAATAATTCTCGCTTTTATCAAACGCTTATCACGAAGAAATTTCGCGTAAGCGCGTAAGCTTCGTCATGAGATTCATTCCAAATTTTTTATTCCTGGGATGATAACGTTTTCCTCGGATTAATTTATCATTTAATGCATTTCTAAGTTCCCTTTTCTATAACTTTAATCGGATATTATTTCATTATTGTTTCAATAGTATTCCACAACATGAATTAACTTCGAATTAAATACATTTCTGTGCGAGTATCACTCAACATTTCAATTCAATTCAATTAATCTAGACAGCATGTTTATAACAGATGTTTAATAAATCTTTCAATACATTTACATTTGATCGGTGCCATTAAGTCGATTACGATTTTTTCATTTTTCTAATATAACAAACAATGTTCAAATTTTTTTTTTCTATGGAATTAAAAATTCATTATTATAAAGTCAAGAAAATAAAAGATTCCAAAAATATCTTCTTTTCTTTAATGAAACTACTAAAAATTTCATAAGGAAAATAAGGAATTTTAATGTAACTTTAAGCACATTTTATTGAAAGGTTTATAACTCATGTAACTAATAAGTAAAAAAGGAAGACTAAAATTGAGGCGATGCTATTTTAGTCTAGCAATCCCTCTTTTGTTTGCATAGAAAGAAGCATTATTGCTTCAATCTTCGTCTCTCTCTCTCTCTCTTATATTTTAAAGTATTGACTTATAAGCGTTAACACATGAAATATTAGGGCTATACATTGATCTTTTTGTTAATAATAATATTTAAAAAATTTTTCTAATTTATAATATTTTATTAGAATATATTGCTACGATTCGTAATAATATTTAATGATTGTTACGTAATTTTTAATAATTGCTATATATTCTATTTTTCAATATATCTTTTATATACATATAAAATTCAAAATTCAAAATATGCATATAATTGTAAATTAAAAGTATGATCAACTTGCTCATTTCTAAGATATAAAGTTCGAGATTATC